TTGAAATCGATGTTGGGAGCCCAACAGGGACAACGTGATGGTGTTGGAACCAAGAAACCATTTCGGTGTAATTAGCTGTGGCACACCATGGCTGGAGGTGTCCAGAACAAGAACTTGATGTCTGTTCTCAGGTGTCTGGTTTGTCGCCAATCGAGATGGGAAGCTACATGAAGCTACACACAGGTTCTTCAAAAAGAACTATCTATCATACTAACTGTATCCATATCCTAATCACTGTAACAGTGGATGAAAATGTTGCATAAAGGCCTCTACCCGAAACTGATTAAGGCCTCTACCAGGATAAATGCAGCGTCTATATCCTTTATGAGGTCAGTCTATATTTAAAAAGACACACACACACACACATTCGATTTGTTTGTGGAACATGTTCTGTAAAAAAGTGCAAATAGCCATTGGACAGTGTCTCACAGTGCAAGATTGTGACGAGTTCGCTGAATGCTCCTTTGAACTCAATCTGTGCTTGCTCCGGCATCATCGCTGCTCGCTCCGGCATGAACCGCAACAGGTGGATTACTATTTGGAGAACATTGGAAATCCCATCTGGACCATCCAAGAACTGCCCAATGGACTTCCCTACACTCGTCGTGGATCTCCACACCCTTTGTATAGCTCTGAAAAGGGAGAAAGACTCTCAGAGGAACCTCTTGGATAAGTGATCTGTGTTCGCGGTTTCCATTCTGGGGTGTGCCAGATTTGGGATGTTTGAGGTACATGATGTTTCCATATTTTTTTCCCGTGGGTCCACATTCTTTTATGTACAAATCGTCTTTATGATGGTGTATCCAGAATCTTCCACTAGACTATGTGTAAAAACCATCTCCCCTGACGCATCTCTGGTAATGAAAAGGAACCATCAAGTCCTTCTGTGGCCTTGGCATATTTTTGTACCGCGAAGTCAAAGGGGCGGTGGAGCATGGTCATCATCTTTAAGTCCATATGGATCATATGGGCATTAGGGATATTAGGGAGATCCCCAACCAAACCCCCCCAAAGGGAGTGATTCAGTGGTCCAAAAGGTCTCATTCTACACCCAAACACGATCTGTTTGGGACTAGCAAATTGACCTCCAAACCGGGGTGTGTTTGATTTGCAGGGTCAATAGGTCCACCAAACGTTCTCATTCTACACCCAACCCCCTTGGTGACTGATGAAACCGCGATCGATGTATAGACATATATGTCGGGTCTATCCGTGTCATCCAGGGTCTATCCATGGGGGGTGGTTGCAGGCCAACCATCTCTAAAGCAGTTACCATGTTCTTCTTTTCAACCCGACTGTTACAGGTTTTCGACCCGGACAACCCCCCCCCTTGTCGAAAAAAAACATCGCTTCCGATGCCTGAAGGCGAAGAAGACGGCGTCGGCTCTTGGGGGGGGGTTCAAATGGACGATCCTTTGCACGGATGTTGAAGGAGTTTGATTCAACACTGCCCATCAGCCATGATTTTTGGGCAGTTCCACAGGGTGTTCGTGTGCCGACCTTTTTGCAGGATCTGGGTGGCACCCAGTAAGTCAGTGAAAGAAGTCAGTCAAAGCAAGGCCTGCTACTGTATTTGCCGGCTTGGAGGGAACACCACCAGGTGGGAATGGGATGTTCTTCAACCCCAAAGGGTTGACTTTGAATGAGGAGACCTGGAAGGAAAAACGCATCAGACTTCTCGTCCGCCAGTCTCCCAATGCCTCCGGGAAAACGACCATTCACCGATAAATCGGAAAAGTAACTGCGGTTTCGGGGTCTCCCATGTCTGCCATAGTTGTGAAATGTTGTGAACCCCAACATGAAGAATTCATTGGATTTGGTCGAGTGTGGAAGATATACCTGGCACATTGTAAGTTAAAAGAATCCAGAAGCACCCCAACATGCTCAAACCCACAGGGTCAGCAAATCCAGTCAGCGAGAGACAGTGACCGGACCAACAAAGCCGGGCAACCGAGTCGGGCAGCAAACATGCGTGTCAATAAGGCGCCGGATGGCTGGCAAGATGCCCAGATCCAATAGATCTCAATAGAAAACACCTATGAACACATTAATATCTTCAAATCATGAATGTTCAATAACTAGGACCGGCAACATTTGGAGGTTTTGAGACCCGCGGCGGGTCTCAAGGAATGGACACCAATGCGACATGGTCTGCGAGAACTGGTGGAACACTGCAAACGACCCTCCATCCAACAAACATGGAGACGTGGAACATGGCCCCTTTGGGAAAACGGTTTTCCTCTACGAACAGGCTGTATTCCACGTAACCATGAGGGCCTTCAGGGAGGGTTGCACTGTTTGCCTTCGGGCCTTTTAGGGTCGTCGTTCCAACGTGAGCTCAACGTGATGGCAAAGCAGGTACGCTCCCATGAGTATTCCATACTGCATTTGGTGGCCAGTACCACTCGCATGTACTTGCAGTAATGACAGTGAACCCACCTAGCACTGTAATGTCAACCTTCAACTCGTCGGTACACTACAAACCGGAAACAAGAAATATAAAGTTATATAATAACTATAAATGTCCCTAGGGCTCCAAGTACCTCCTCAAAAGGTGTTTGGACCCTCCTGGCACCCACCCCAGTCCCACTTCTCAAAAGGCACGACTGGAGCCCTAGGGTGTATGTGGGCCAACGTGGGCTCTGGCTGGTGAAGCCCAGGGCCACCACGCTTTTTCTCACCGAGACAAACTTCCCGGTGAGCATTCTGTTCTTGTCAAATACCATTGGGCAAGAAGTAGGCATAAGCAAGGATACTTGGTGACCTGGAGTATGTCTGCACCACTTTGGATATAAAAAGTGAGTTCTTAGATTATTTATTGTGTTTTTGTTTGTATGAGTGGCAGTGTTGAAAGAACAACCTTGAGTCGTGCTAGCTTACTGCTGAAACAAGTGTCCTACGTATTTTATATTTTATATAAGTGTGTTCACTTGTTTGAAAAGACGATTTCATAATTTTGAGACAATGATCTGCACGGAACGAATCGAAGACTTTCTGATTGAACTGTTCTCTTTCTGAAGGGATTCATCATACTTCATCCGTGAATTCCTGGAGCCAGCCTTCTCAGGTCTAATGATAAGCTCATGTTGATCCTTAACGACTCATCTAACTAGAGGGGTACACTATCTTGTATCCCAACACTGAGGTGTCTTTGGTCTTTGCGCGAAGGATGTTCGTGAAGGCACACACACACCGTTCGCTGGATTTGCCCGCGTTTTGTGCTGTTGCATGGGGCAGCGGGAGACATTCGAGGGAACTGATCGAAGGGAAAACACGACTTGTAGGGCAGCTACGTAGATAGAGACGGTATATCCATGTATATCCTACGAATTACTTCAATAACATCCCCAATCTTCTTGCAAGCTGTTGTGTCCGTCTTGCCGTCTTGCCGATTCATCCGGCGATTTCACACTCCGGCCCTCCGAGCTCCGAGCACTCTGCGGTGCCAATGGACCGATGGGAGTTCTCAATTGCAATCCAGCGGCGCCAGTGGACCAGCAAGGTATCGGGGTCTATGTGTCAGTGGTCTATGTTGCCGAAGGTCTATTCCCCTCCACAAGAATAGCTTAAATGTGTTTGTCGAAGGGTTGATTCCAAGCGACACCTGATGGTCAGCGTTGCTCAGGACCACTCCTGGTCCACCTCGGGTTTCCCTCGCCTTGGTTTCGCATGGTCAATTGCTCTGTCTATGAGCCAAAGGCAGCCTGCAGCCTATTGCTAATGTCTATTGAATGTGAAGCTAGAGGGAAGATCGCCGCCTCACAAAGCAGCAACACCAGGTTCATCGTCGGTGTCGCCCTCTAGGCTGGTCATTGGACAAGCCTTTGCTGGACATCTGGTTGACATCCACTGTGGAAATGCACCAAAGGCTTGATAATGGTACGCTTCAACTTTGCCTGAAGACCAGCTTAAAGTCAAAGCCCAACCTCATTTTGTTGGCGAATCCGCGGACTTCAAACTTAAAGTCAAAACGCATGACCTTAAGACTTCATCCGCGTTGACACCCCCCAGAAAAAGACATGTCCAAGTTCCGTCCAACATGTAGACCCACCAAAAGACACAAAAAGTGTGAACTCATGAGTTTCACCGGTCCATGAATTCCAGAGAAATCGGGGCGAGCCAGACTCGTGTGCGGACAGTTTTTGTTGAGGCGTTGAGAGGATTCTTCTTTTCTCAAGCCTGACTTGCTCAAGTGTTTAATATTTAATGATGCTAAAGTGACACATTGCCCGGGTTGAGATTCACCCTAAATTACAGAAAACATCAAAAGGACGTTGCCACTCCATTTTGCTGGGTGCGTACTCTGCTGACCTCGCAGTCCTGCTATCTCCGAACGGAGGTGCTCCTTCTCAACGTGGGGTTGAATCGCAAAAATATGCAAACATATTCGCCCTAAACATGTCAAAGTCGAAACATGAGTATGGCGGCCTAGCAGGGGATCAAACAGGTTCTGCTCATGGACTCTGTTCTACCTGAAACTTTCCCAACCAAGAATCAGCCAAAAGCTTTGAGAATGTTCAACAAAGGATCCACTTGAGTCTTCTGATGCACCACTGCAAGTGACTAATTGGGCATGAAGGACATTTCCCACAGAATCCATATCTGAGAAAGTGGGAATGGGATGGAATGGGCAGGATCTTCGGTGTGGGCAGAATGGTGTCCAACCACTTTGTGGGGATGTAGTAGGGTCAATGGGGCAATGGGGTTGAACAAACTGAACTGGACAGACTGCGGATTCATTAGCAAACAACCTTCTCTTATGATTCCACACACCAGTCCAAGCATCAAGAAATCTCACTCTGATCTCATTCAAGCTTTCTCTGCATGGCAGCCAGAGTCTCAGTTCAGACCAGACTGTATGGATTCTATTGAAAATGCGTACCACACCCGTTGCTTAGGCTGATCACATAATTGACATCGCCACTTGCCAGGGTTGCACCTTTCCCTCTCGACTCCAAGCGCCTGGAAGCCTCCTATATATATAGCTGCTACTGTACCTTGGCCGATCTCAGCTGCGCCTGGTCTAGACATCCTGGACCTCTGGGCTCGCCCTTCCCTTCACTTTTTTCGCCGCACGCCGCACCCGACCTCGCGCGACCGACCCAGGGCGGCGCGCGACCTGGATCCGCCGGTGAGACCGGGGAGGGTCGGAGGGCGACGTGCAACAGCGGTTGGGTTGCGCGGTGGTTGGTGGAGGATTCGATCACTTAAGGGTGATACCACTTTCAGGAGTTCAGTGGATTTCAGTGGAAGCGTCTTGGTTGCCCCAAAGAAACACCTGGGCAGCCTGGGCCTGTTTCTAAGAAGAGTTCGGCCTTTTAAACCCAGGGCACTGTTGAGCTGTCCACATCCATCATTGCTGGACGGTAGTAATAAGCGACAACTTCTTTGAACGTGGACGATAGTGACGATAGATCCTCCTATTTACCTAACCAAATACAAAGGGGTTGTCTGCTTGCTTGGACCCATCTCAAAGAATCCTGACCTGTGTCCTCCATGAAATACTTGATTGCATATGAGGAGTGGGGTCCGGGTAGATGTGGGTACTACATGGTAAAACTATGTACAATTCGACTAAAAATTGCAAAAATTGCATCCCCAGCCTCCCATCTGAGCCCGGTCATGCAGCTGAGTGTACTTGCTGCTTCGTCACGGCCCTCACAAGCAACTCATTCGTGGAAGCTCAATAACATTTCATCACCGAGTACCTCCAAGACCAGCAAAAGACATATAACCTCCCAGAAGTGAAACATAGGCCCCTGAAGACCATTTGTCCTCCAAAAAGTGGGAGCTTCTCAGCTTCCGTGATGATCATGATTGGAGGGAGGATATGTTTACTCTCCACCCACCAACTTTACGGCTTCGAATTCACGCCCAAGACCCGGCCATGTGGCACGTCCTCATGGCACCGAAGCCCGGTGGCCGTCCCAGAGGACGGGACTCGCCCATGGCTCCGGGCTTCCGGGGCAAAGCCCTTCAGCCATGAGAGCTGATGCCACGGCTTCTTCACCTGGAGCGTTTTCGCGGCGAAGAGGTGGACGGAGTGGGAAAGAGACACTGTTCTATACAGTGACCGGTCACAGGGTTCATCTCTCTCCCCTTCGTCATTGCAAACAAATAACCCCAAAATGGAATGTCGTGTCCCATACTGAAACACTGAGAGAACTCAACCGGTCGCATCTTAAGATCGTTCCGACTTCGCCGACTTCTCACACTTTTCGGCTTTCGACGCCCCGAACCCAAACGAACCACTGGCGCAGGCGCTAGGCACGTAACTTACAGCATGACCCACACAAAGCTATATGGGGATCGTTCCACCGCTTTCACGGCCGACACGGCCGACGTAACTCAACCGGTCGGTCTCCTAGTTTTGATCCATTTGAAGCCATATATATAATATATGTATATTATCCCTAGTGCTCCTGGCCCACCTCCCGAGAAGATGGTTGGGGTGGGTGCCAGGCAATTCTATTCTAACCACCGAACCTGAGGATATGGGCCAGGAGCCCTAGGGTATATATATATATTTGTCATTGATTGGTGATGGTTCCAATGATGGTTCCCCAACACCTTTCACACACACCTTTCGTGGGGCAGCCACACAGTGTGTTTTGATGTACTTTCCAAGTAGGGATCAGTAGGTCAAGGTGTTCCCCACCACCAGGAAAACGCTAGTTGCTCGATGAGGGTGCGTCCCAACCACTATGAATTTCACATAATTTCACCAACACCTCCTTCGCCCATATCACCCTTCGACTACCGCTCGGTGCGCACACAATCATCACCCATGCAGCCAGCTGGGTAGTGCCTGCACCAGGAGGCTCTTGAGTTGCGTTTGGACCCAGCATGGATAGCCAGAAACCATGCCATCGCTGCCATCACCATGTTCTAAGGTTGTTGGTCAGTTTCTATTTCGAGTTTCTGACCTTCGAGCAGTCCACACATGACATCTGACCTCATCTCTCACTCCCCGCTTCAAGCTGGGCACCTCCAAGAATTGCCAGAATCTCGGCGACCTGGCTGTTCAAACCAATACAACGTACATACAGTACTGTGTATACTGTGTATATATATATATATACAATCAAAGCAGCGTCGCACAACAACACGTTGGGGTCACTAATGACCATCCAGTTCATTCTGGGCACACACGTGGCAGTGTAGTTTGTTTCCCTCAGTTTTCCGACTTGGCTATGACTTCAAGAAAATCCAAATGCCACATGTTGGATGGATCAATTATATGTTGAAAAGGTAACTGGAACCCCCAACTCCACCCAAAACATTCCGAAACAACTTCTCAGAAAGTATGCAAATATATATGAAGATATCCAACTCTTCAATCATTGCAAAGTCGCAAAGTCATCTACCACTGAAACCTCCCGGCACATTCTCAACCATCAAGGGGGTATATATATCTCGAACAACACTAGGTATCCCAAAGCCCTGATAATATCAATCCGGGCAATGGGCAACGGCATACTCATTCCAAGTGTGCCTACTCCCGCGTTGAGCCTTATCCGCATCATTCCGCATCTGGTGCTTCGCACTCCGCTCCTCCCGCTTCCGCCTACTCCTGCGCCTACTCCTCCCGCTCCTCCCGATCCTGCGCTCTTCCATTTGGGTGATCAGTCTACTTTTGGTCGTCAGAAAGCCGACATGAGACTGAGACCACCCTCTCCGCGGTCCCTTCACGGAAAGCTTCCGTTGAACTTGGCATGGTCAGGTCTGTGACCTGTGGACATACGGAGACCCTCCAAATCCCTCGAGCGTCTGGGCTTCAGTGGATGTTTCAAAACGGCTTCTGAGTCTCCAAATGTGTACGAATGAAAATAATATACCCAAACCCATTTGACCTCTACTTTGACAGGAAAAAACCATATTCTGGCTCTAAAACAGGGGTCATTCAAGTTCTAGTCTATACACACCTATAATATACCTACCTAATTTCAAGACACTTCCATGTGAGTCCACCGGTGTCCTTCGGCTTCACTACATCTCTCTCTCTCTCTCTGTCCATCCCTAAGACCAGGGCCACCCGTCCGGGCGGCTCATTGAGTCGCACCTCCAACGTTCCAACTGCAAGGGGGCAAAGCTTTACCTTGGAACTGTGACGCCAAAGGTGGGCACCAGCGGCTGAAAAACACGACGTCTTCCGTGGGCTCCGGGGAAAAAGAGGGAAATACTGTGGAGATCTGTGGATTTTTCGTTTGGAGAAGCAAGTGAAAGCACCCAACTCGAAGCACCTCGAGGTCACCATAGAATTCTCAACATACCTCATCCACAAAAGCATCAAGGACACTTTTGGGTGCCCAAAGCCCCTTGATGTCAAAAAGAACATCCATGGAAAGCCTGTACTGAGGCACTGTCCACCACCTCTTCAATGTCAAAATACTTCTGAAAAAGAACAGCGACAAAAAGAACAAAACTGTGCCTCCCCCCCACACATCGTGATACCACGAGAGAAACCTCACCATGCTTTCTTGGAAACATCTTGTAGGTGATAAATTGCAGGCAGTACCGGGTCAGGGACGATACAAAGGGCGCTGATCAATGTAATGACAGGAGGCAAATCAAAGGCTCTGGCCGGTGTCATCCACATAACCTTCTGAGAAGGTACTTGTACGTGAAACTCACTTGAAAGTGCAAATTGAAAGAGTGGCAGTCTGTATAGATAATTGAAAACAAATAAGGAAGCAACGTCAATCCATTAGGGGCGGCTGCAACAAATCGGACTGCTTCTTCGCTGCTTGCAAGAGGTATTGCCCTGCAATGCACAACTCCGCTGGGAATTCACGGGAGGATAAACCCCCCCATACTTCTTCTTCACGTCTGAGAATGATCCAACCAAAACCTCTGCGCCTCTACGCCCAAGGCGCGCCTCACAGCTGAGCCCCATCTCCCCCCTCTTTGAAGTCTACTTTGGCGCGCCTGTGGGATCACAGCCCACTGGAAGCACCACCTGCGGATCCAAGAAAACAATCGCGGATGAACCAATTCGGACCTTGATCGCATGGGATGGGATGAACCGACCAACTGTGTGATGCAAAAACCCTGATACAGTATACAAGACCTGGGAGTTCGTCTGGATACTTTGAGTATAATTACTAAGAACCTCGTCCATACTCTGGATACGTCCCAGCCACATGCATCTACAATGTACAGTCCCTGCACGCGACAGCCAGTCTGTATCTGAGGAGTCTGGCCCTTGAACACGAAAGTGTCTGCATATATCTGATCGGGCTTACAGTCTGCTTGGTATTCGGAGTTCAGAAACGTTCAGACCGTTCAGTGCCATGGGTATTTGTATATAAACTTAATAACCTTTTGACATGTCAATGCAACTAACTAACAAGTTTTTTTCCCAAACACGGAACGAAACAAGAACTGGACTACACAAAAGGGGATCGCAATGAACACCAAAACCAACAATCAAGAAACTGTGTCTACATATTCGTCTCCAAAATCGGTTCGACTGTCCCCAACGAACAACGCTCCGTCTTCATCCAATTCAATGTGTTGCTTTGGCTACAGGGCACAGGTCCCACCATGCAACGGCCACCGGAACGGCCACCCGTCTCCACTCCTCGACTCCCTTCGAGATCTTGGCCGTCCTCCTTGGCCTTGAAACGAAATGGCTGTGAAGTTTGCCGAGCCGAGTGGAGGCAGCTGGCAGAAACTCCCGGGGATGAGGCAGCTGGGCCTTTGATAGGATCCATCATTTGGCTGCCTTTATCAAACATATTTTACTGATTGCAACATATGGCTCACGGGCGACCGAACCAAACCTCTATCGAATCAGTGGACATTTTTTGCCGGGGGTCATGTTCCTGATGGCTAGTACTAAGTCCATCCAACTAGTTTGCATGAACCTTAAAATTCATGGGACCAAATGTTCAACTGAACTTGCGAATGGTTGCCATAAACCCAAGGTAAAGGACTAGTTGACCCCAACCCAAAATCAAGGAGGGCCGGGATTTGGCGCTGCCTTTTCCGCTATGAATCGCTGCCATGTTGCCAGCAAACATACACCCCGTTGCACGAAAACTCTTCCAAACCTGGTGGTATCAAAATCCCTTCAAGATCGGTCTCAAAGCCAAAGGTCAGAGTTCGTAAAGCTTTGGGAAGAGTGATACCATTCAAATTCGTGTGTTGGTCAAACATGTTGCCAAAAGTCAAAGTTGTCAGACCAGCTGGTAAAGTCGTAGCACTGAGGCTGCAATTGAACATGTGGCCAAACTTCAAGCTTCGAAGAGCTGCTGGGAAAGTCACACGAACCAAGGGCTGATTGAAACGCATGCCAAATGTCAGGGCTTGGAGAGCTATTGGCCAAGTCACATCGTGCAAAGGCGCATCAAAAGCATAGCCAAAAGTCAAGTTTTGGAGACCTGCTGGGAACGTCACATCAGCTAAGGACTGGTTGAAACTGTCACCAAATGTCAAGCTTTGGAGACCCGCTGGCATAGACACCCCCGCCAAGCTCGCATTGAAGCAAACGCCGAACGTCAAACTCTGGAGACCTGCTGGCAAGTTTTGAAGACCAGCCGGCAAGTTCATGCCATCTAACCCTGCACGGTGGTCAAGAGCCAAACTTCGGAGACTTGGCAAAGTAGCCACACCCAAGCTGTGATTGAACCTGTTCCCGACACTGAGGCTTTGCAAACCTACCGGCAAAGCCACAGCATCCAAGCCTTGGTTGAAGTCCTCACCCAAAGACAAGGTTTGGAGATCTTTTGGCCAAATGACACCAACCAGGCTCTGGTTGAATCTGCCACCAAAAGTCAAGCTTTGAAGACCTGCAGGCAAAGACACGTTGAGCAAGCTCTGATCAAACCGGTAGCCAAAAGTCAAGCTTTGAAGACCTGCTGGCAAAGTCACACGATCCAAGGAGTGGTTGAAGCCTTTGCCCAAATTCAAGTTTTGCAGACCTGCTGGCAAATTCATACGATCCAAGGGCTGGTCAAACATTTCACCAAAGGTCAACGTTTGCAAAGCTGCCGGGAAAGTCACACCCTTGATGCTTTGGTTGAACCTGCGGCCAAAAGTCAAGCTTCGCAGACCTGTTGGCAACTTGACATGGTCCAAGCTCTCATCAAAGTGCTCTCCAAGAGTCAAATTTTGCAAACCACTTGGAAGAACTTGTGGTGTACGAGAGCCAAGGCTCAAACTTTGCAAGCCTCTTGGCAAATTGATGCCATCTAGACTTTGACCAAACAGTGTTCCAAAGGTCAAGTGGTCAAGACCTGGTGGCAAAACTACACCCTGGAGGCTATGGTCAAAATCATAGCCAAATGTTAAGCTTTTCAATCCTGCTGGCAGAATCAAGCCGTCGATGGGTTGGTCAAATTCAGCGCCGAAGGTTAAGTCGCGTAGATCGGCTAGTGGAGTCAGAGCTGCGTCATCCAAAGGCTGGTTGAAAGAATAGCCAAAACACAAGCTTAGTAGGCCTCTTGGTAAAGTCACGCCATCTAAGGGGTCATTGAACATCCGGCCAAAAGCTAGATGTTGAAGGCTGCGAGGAAATTCGAGCCAGTCCACTTCCTCTACTCCTCGAATCTGTGTCACTCCATGTAGTGAAGCCTCTTCATCCTCCACATCCATTCCATCTAAATATTCCCAGGCCGCTTGGAGATTGACCGGAAGGTGAACGTAGGACAAAGTGACACATCCCACGATTCCTTGTTGCATCAATGTCTGCTCCAAAGAAAGCGGCGTTGATCCAAACTGAACAGAGATGCACGAACCTGCTTTTGCAGGCAGCATGTCACTGATCATCTTGCGCAGTTCCCGGCCAGTCATGGTGATATCTACCTGGTCGCTGCTTACCCTCACCTGAAAAAATATTCTAACGTCAACTCTGGGAGAACTCCGAATCTGCTAGGAATTAGTGGCGGTGCTCTCAAACATATACATCGAAATCCCTCCCAAAAGGCAGGGAACGGGACAACATGGGCAAACCAATCTAGAAACCGAGCGACATCCTGGATTTTCCACCTCTTTCCTTGCAGGTTGACCACCTCGACCTCCAGCTCTGCATGCTCTGCATCCGCAAGGTTTTGCATGGCTTGGCGGCTTGGCGGACTTTTTGACCCTGATCAATTCTGATCTTCCAATTTGGTGGCATTTTGTGTCTGCTACACAAAAAGAACAAACACGATATGACAGGATGGTATCTGTGTAAGTGTACTTAAACCGAAAGTGAGTGGGGTATCATTCATCATGATTATGATCCAAGTGGGCATCATCACACAAAATACATAGTCATAGAAATATTGCTGGAAATCATTGCTCCTCTTCAGCACCAAGCAAAAACGCCAATGAATTGCACGTAATTTCACACATTGTCACTTAGCTTTAAAAAAAAAATGCATGCACAATCTTACACGTTGTCTTTGTCTTTGCACGTGAACTCTCTGACCTTGCGCCAACTGCACCTGGTTTGACTCATGTTTGACAGAAAAGTCTACACTCACATGAATCATATGGGCATGAGTCAACCCCTTGCATGCTTGTCCGCGATGATTACTGCTCCACCATAGTCGTTTTTGGGGGTCAAGGCTTTGACCTAAAAGATTATTTCCCATGAAGATTCTCCATATCTCCACATCAAAATGGTTGGGGCCTTCTGAAAAAAGAACAACAAACAAAATATGCACTTCTCTTGTGGCGTCTGGTCGGATGTCGCCATCGTCCCAAACTGTCGGCAATTCCAGTGAGTCGTGGCCACCGGGACAAAAATCTCTGCAACGGCTTCGGGAGGTGTGCAGAGTGGAAAGAAAGCAATTTGCAAAAGAAACTGCTTGGGGAACTGCTTGGGGAGGTGTACAACTCACATGAAACAGCAAAAGACAGCAATTTGTTTGATATCCCAAGGCCATCCAAGGCCCAAGGTGAGGTGTGTCTTCAACCTCGAAAGAGACCAAAGCGAACATTATGCAGAACAGCAAAAGCGTGCATTTGAGGTATCTTCATCAGGTCTTGGGGACGTTCTCCATAAAAACCTCACATGTCCCAAAGGTTTACGTGGCCCCCAGCCTCTTAAGGTAACAAACATCCCAAGATTTCATCCTATACAATTACAATTTTATGGAATGAGTGCCATCTACCACAGTCTCTGGGGCCGTGGGTCCCCACCCCGAAATCCCTTTTCCGGTGAACCATGCTTTCACAGGAAGACGATGCACGAAGACCAGTGGATGATCTGTTGAAACGATTGATCCGTGAGATTCTTCACTTGATGACCAAATCGGATCAGTCCATATCCCCAAGGCAAGCAAGTACCAAGTGGTATTTCCCTCAGTTACACACTGTCCCTCATCTCAGCCGGGCCAAGGGGCTCTTCATGCGCCGTCGGAGGCGCATCCGACGTGGCGCTTCCGGCCTCCGCATCGGCCTGTCAGCGCGCGAACAAGCTCCGTTCGTAGCCTTCTTGTCCTTAGCAGTAAGGCCAGGAGCCCTAGTAGCGTCCTTGTTCCGTTCGTAGCGATGCCCAAAATGCTCCGTTCGTAGCTTCCTTGCTCCTACCCCCCTATGATTCTGGGACTCTGGGAGTTCAAGTTTGTGCATGCTTGTAGAGTCACTCGTCACTCTTCATTGAAACTCGTAATTAATAGACAGGGTAGCCTTGTCTTGAAGACGTCGATGAAAACTTTCACCAGGTGAAGCAAGGTCAAGAAAATAAGCCTGAAGGGCTCCGAATCAGAAGAGCATATACGTGTATTATCAGCTATCATCAGGTTCAGGAATGTTGAGGAATCTCAATCCATGCCCTCAACAATAATTTGATGCTACCGAATCTGCATAATCCATGTCTGTTTCAGGTAGGAAGAGGCCTAGCTGAAACCCTCCAGTCGCTTGGTCCACATCCCGGACCCCTCAGGTCGGAGCTGCGGATCCCTAGACTCGCAGAACATCCCAATCCCATCGCCCCCACACACCGGCCACAGGCCTGCAACGAATCCTTCGTGGCCTCGGATGCGTACGGCCACGAAGCTGTGATGAAGTTAAGTGGGTCAAGGGTGGAAAGAAACTGAGTCCACTGAAGAAGTGAATCCAAGTGAAAACAAGTCTCCTGTGAATCCAAGTGGGTCCACTGACCATGGTTCTCCACATAAACACATCAACTGTAGATTGTACTTCGTCTCTCACCCTCTCTCTCCCTCTACAGTACCGGATGCGGTTCTGCTGCATCCAGGACGACATCCTCGGGCAACAGAAGAAAAGTATCAAAGTTCACCTACATCAAAGGTACCCGTCTCGAAAGTACAACTGTACAACATTCAAATCTATTCAGGAGCCCAGAAATCCCTGGTTGCTACTCTGCTACTTTGGAATCTTCAGAACACAAGAACTTGGTTCGCGAACTCTGGGTCTTTGGCACTGGCGCACTCCTTCTTCGCTGATGAGTGGCCATGCCTACCCTGTTGTATCCCTGTCCGGACCACCGCAGGTGCTCGCGCTGGGCCTTCTTCAGCAGAGGGAAGTTCCCGTACGATCCCCTGACGGCGGAGTGGGGCCAAGTGTCCTGCAATTTGTTGGGGCCAGTTTTGGTCTCCTTTTGATCAATCTCTTCAAAAGTCTTTCCCAAAACTTGAAATAATCCTGGCCTTGATGGAATTTGTCTTTGTAAATAACTTACTATATAACTGTTAGAAACCATTATGGAAGGTTGTTGAACTCCGTTGTTCTTGAAAGCAAGGACTTGATACAAATTAAACTTACTTAGAGGTGTGCCTGTCAAGGTGGTTGACTTTGGGCATATAGAAACCTCCCCTACAATGACAATTGTCATTGAAAATCACTGAATAAGAACTTAACTTGTCAACACAAGTTGTTGAATTTCCCAAATTCAAACAAACAAAAACACGTTGAACATACAAATTCATCGACTCTCTAGACTATTTTTTATGCACACAAAGTGTCTGTATGGGTGTTGTTTTCTTTAGAAAACACATTGTTTTTTTCATTAAACAAAAACAACACATAATTTGGTGATTCAATGAAATTCATTGCTGTGCGAACTCCCGTTCTCATACCTTCTGTGCCAGGCGGTCCTACACCATCGTCAATACTGCAAATGTATTGTCCATCGCTCTCGGAAGGGCAAACACTCTCCTGCAGGAAAACCATGACTGATTCAACGTAGTCTTTTTCAATTTGATAGACAAACACGGATATTGCATGATATGAGGAACTCTTCCCTTCGTGACCTTCAATTCCACGCATCTCTGGCACTTGAAGCCATGTTAAACAATTGTAAGCGCATGTTAGCCTTGCATCCGCTAATCCCAGACCACCTCATGATCTTACCATACAACTTGGGAAAGGCCCTACGGAATGAACTGCCTCAGCATATCTGGCCAGCACAGCCTACGAATACCATAGAATCTGGCCAGAAGGGCCTACGAATACCATGGAATCCTTGATACACTTGTTCATGTTGCAAGCAAGCTTCCTAAGCAATTTGGCAAGGTATATAGCTCGAGTCCTCCATCAACTTCTCCAATGTTCTGCGAATGCCATGATGCCCCAAAGGCTTCACAAGAATTACGTTCATTACCTACTTCAACGCAGCACTTCGGCTTGTATCAGAAGAAGCCAAGAATAATATTGCACCTGAAACATACCAGCCCCATGAAACAGTCTAGGGCTGACACAGGGTGTCGGCCTCAGTCCAAAATGCCGCATAACCAAACACCAACCCTCCCAGTAGATATAGACTAAAAACGTCTGAGATCTGCCAGATTGACCAGAAGTGGAACATGGCCTTTTAGATCTAGCTTCATCCTGAGGTAATGCAATAAGAAACTCACGTTGGACAAACACCCCTAAATGCATGTTGCCTTTGACTTAAATACCCTGAAGCTCACTTTTGAGGAACATGTTTTAAGTACCCACCACTGTTCCCCAATGGCATGGAGCCACACGAACGCATTTTCCGCCGAGGCCTCCCCAAACCGCATGGCACGGCGACATCACCTTTTGACATCTTTTGTTTATTACGTTAGGCTGATGGAAATTCCACGAGCCAAGCATATCGAAGAATCAATACTTCAACAAAGGGTTTTGTAAACAGGAGAGGAACACAGAAATACTTTTCAATTTTCAGAGTTTTTGTTCAATTTGATATGAATATAATAAAAAAACATTACAAAATGAAAGATTGTCCTGAGCGATGTTTCGGCTTCAAGGCTCTTCCCCAAGTTCCCATCTTAACCATTTTTTCTCGCAAACGGAATCCAAGCTCGGTCCGACCACCTCGTGGACGTCCACCATCGTCGACGCGGCCAAGATGGCCTTGCCCACTGGTCTTCCACGTGAATCAGTTTGGAATTCCTGAAAGCCGGTGCGCTTTACAGCAGGACACAGCGCGCGGAGCCATCCGAGGTGGCGCCGAGGGGTCTCGTGTTTTTGAGGGAAGCGTCGCGAGGCGAGGCTCCCGGGGCGCCGGCGAATCACGCGCGGAGCCAGCTGCGCTCTAACGCTTCATGCAGATTCCCGGCACCCCCAAAAGAGATCGACAGCTTCCACAAAGAAATCATCCTACCATCTGAGGAGTTGTCATGTATCCAAGTAAGTGTTGGTGAAAAACCCATCACTGGAAACTCCACCTGCCCTTCACCACCTGCCTCTCAGCATCCAGGTCACGTCGACGCTCTTCGGAGTAGATGATCTGAGGGCCACGAGGCCGGGCCGAACGGACGAAGGATGGGCCCGGACGGACATGGTGTGTCGAAGAGGAACGTGGATGGAATCTGATCCGTCGTGGGCATGGCCAGTGGATGTCATACTCCGTTTCTTCCACTTCCATCTGAGGAACTGCGGATGTTGGGGTGTCTCTGAACACCAAGCTGCAGGGTCAATGATCCACTGATCTGTGCTTCGCTGCTGAAAGACATGGTCGGCGAGTCTCGTAGATGAACATCCAAGGAACTACACTTAGGCCTGTTGCTGGATAGATTCCAACTACATTGTCCATGCCAAAAAGCAGGATCTGAGTTTTAGAATGAAAGATCCTCGAGTGACTGCTACGTCGACGTACAAGTCCCAATATAATATATATATATATATATATTTTTATAGTTATAATTGTAATTCACCATCCAAAGTGCTCAAACTGTTTTGTCGGTGTCATCATACTCTATGCTTGCCTGTTTCTTTTGGGGGAGGTTTCAAGCTTGCTATTTCACTCACACCTCTGTGCAATGACAGGTGCTCAAAAGACACCAATCGTCGTTTTCAGCACCGTGCTGGCAACATGACATCCACAACTCTCTGAAGTTTGTACAGAGACCTGCGAAGGTGCTAACTGTCAATTGATGTCAACAGTCCAAACCTGACCTTGGACGCTGTACTCCGACAAACAAGTCACATGGTTTCGTGGATTGCATGGCTCCTCAAAGACTTCAGAATGCCACGCTGGTGCCAGTCTCCCAGCAAACCGCTGAGCGCGCAAAAACACCCACAAAGTGCCACAAGTGTGGAGCTCTCCGCTCGCGCCTTCAGCGCAGGTGGCTCCATACACTGCGCGCGAGCATAGCCTGGTCGGACAGGTACGGCGACGCGGTACGGCGACCTGGTCCCGAAGTGGACGTCACAAAGGGAGGGCGTTATATACCTTTAGCATGAGTCGGCTTTTGTCCATGTATACAGTGAAGACTCCCTGTAGAATGCAAAAGCCGATGGTGGACAGTTGCAACGACAGTATTCTAGCGGATTCACAGTTGCTTGGGGTTGTTGATGTTTGGCCTACATCACTTGAGTAGGTCAGCAAGCAGGGCAAAAATAGATAACGAACTCTGATCGAGGAAGCATTGATGCTTTCAAAGCCAGAGGGCAGGCCAACTATGGACCTCCTTTCAATGATTCTTTGTGCATTGAGGGCCATCGTATGCATACCTCTGCTCTACAGCTGGACAAACCACGACATCAACAAACATCACAAAAAAATATACTAATCCCGAGTACCTATTAAAAAACGGACACCAATTTAAAAAAAGTCATGTCGGATCCCCCTAAATACGGTTTATATTTGTTTTTAAGTTACCGCCCTTTCAAGCCGCTACTAAACTACCAACATGGCCGATTTTGGAGGGCTTTCCTTATTAGGTTCCAAAAACAACCGTAACTGCCCACCTCTGTCCGCCCTGTCTATCCACCATGACACGCCGCGCTTACACCAGCAGGCTTTCCTTCCCCCAATGGCACGGACTCACGCAAACGCACTTGCCACCGAGGTCATGCAACACCGCATGGCACAGCGACATCACCTTTCGAAAGCTTTAGCTGTTAGTCTACTGAAGAATCACTATTCTAATGATGGTTTTTGTAGGGGAAAAGGAAGACCCTTCGATCTGGAGGTTTTTTTCATTTTTGATACGCATTTAATAAAGGGTTTTATATAAAATTTTACTGGATTACTTTTTGGTTTTGAAGCCCTTTCCAGGTGACCCTATTTTGGAGGGACCCCCTATCAAAAAAAAGCGACCGAGGTTTCCTTATTAGGGGGGGCGCGTTTTTTAATAGGTGGACCGGATTACACAAATGGATTCGCTCGGGTGAAATGGGTGTCAACACGAGGATACATCTCACAGGGATAATGATGAATGTTGTGAATAGGCCACCAGGTGTCTTTGACAACGGTTGCAAAAAAAAACCTCACTTGATTCGCTTTCGTTCCTCCTACGGTGACCGTTCGCAGCGAGGTCCCGCCTACCGTCGAAACTGCTTGGTTGAACTACCCGAGTCAGCCAACATACCATAGTTTGCGTCTGTCTGAACGCATCCTAAGACCCTTCAGCTAAGCTGGGTAGTCAGGGATAACTCGTAAATATATGCCCAAACTGGCCAAAACAACCAAGAAATCATGGTCAAAACAACAAATTCATGCCAAATCCATCGCTTTTCCCCTTCATACATGTCATGACGATCGCCTCGGCTCGCCGAGCGTTTCAGCCTCTTCCCCAAGGGTCGCGACGGCCGCCGCTGCCGGCGTGGCCGTTTCCCGTTCAACCGGAACTGTCGGGTCCCATCAGTCAAGCAGCGTCTGTAGTGCTTGTGCAGGTCCCGCAAGAGCTCGTACAAAGCACCCTTAGTTTCATTTCGAACTGAGACCATGTCGAATTGAGACCTCCAATTGATGGTCGAAACCAATCACCCTCTTGTGCGACGAGGTATGACCAGGTCCATCCCAAAATAGATCGCTCCGATCAGTTTGTTTGGGATAGTGGAGAGCCTCAAGACTCAAACGAACCGGTGTACGTGATCGATCTCTGAAATCTCTAAATCTCAAGCAAACATGCTGACATGGGTTTGTCTTCCAGTTTTCCTGCTATTATTAATGTCTGCTCCTCTAGGTTGGGGCGTCGATAGCACCAAGACAGCAAACCCCCGTGTGTGACACAGATCTGTTGTGCCAAAGGTTTGACACGTCCAAATGGTATATCCTGCTCTTTTGGAAGAAACGACCTACATTGTGATACTGTCGCTTCAATAAAGCTCCGCGTGACTGCTTTTGATTAATTTGGATATGGGTGATCCAGGTCCGGGCCGTGGTTCTGCCAACAATTCCAACCTTTGCTGTCCCACGACTTCATCTGCCATCCTCGACCCCCCAAAGAAGTCGGGGAGGTTTGATCAATCAACAGTCTATGGGAGGACAGTCTGGAAGAACATGGAACCTCACAACCAGTGGGTTGGTATTCAGAAAATCGTCGTACCCGAATGCAGGTGCATGCCATCAGGCCAAGCCCGGTTCCATGTGGGTCTCGTTTCCACCGGGTGTATCATGACGACCGTGCCGTGGCCGTCTGTCCCTCCGAAAGTCCAGTGACCACTGCCCCGACGTAGTTCATCCACTCCTGAGGCGATTCAGTCAGGCTGGGCGAGGGCGGTCTCCGATGATTTCCACCTGTTAGGATCTACATGGAACTGTCCAAAACATGGAACTCAACCACAGGTGTTACTAGTTATCATAGGTATTAGTGTGTTCATATGTTGTCAAACATATTTTGGGTTTGTTGCCTGTTGAAAAGAACGTTGCAATCCGATGGATTTGGCCCTTCAGGTTGTGATGTCAGTTTGTATTCCAACCTCTCTAATGGCACAACTCTGCCAACAGCATCTAAAACATTTCTGCCCAAATCGACACCATCCAGAGACTGGGATTCATGTGCAACCCTTGGGCTCAAAGCGATGGGACTTCCGCCCCCCCAACTCACCACGATCCACGTCATCGCGGGACTGAAGCAGATGACGATCCGTGCATGGCGGCCCTGTCCAACAATTGCCATGCATCAGGTTCCAAGTTCACCTTGACTTACAGTAAGAATCCTTACAGCTCTTACAACATATTATATATACTTTTTCACACACACATACACACACATACACCATGGACCATGGATGTTCTGGGCACCCCGGCACACATCCAATAAGCCCCACTCCAATAACCCAGCCAAGTTGTCTTTTGTGTTGAAAGGACATCACTGTCCCAAGATATCCCAAGAGGAAAGTACAGGGTCCGAATGGCTGACGTGCTGAGCGTCGCCCTCTTCAACCCAGGTGGATCGGGTGGCGCAGCCAAGGTCGCAGCCAAGGGGCGTGACAAGACAGCCAAAGCTGCAGCGGAGCATCCAACTCCAACTCAGCTGGAAGGGCTTTTCCGAGCAAGAGCCGTGATTTCACCACTCATCACTCATCAAAACAACATGGCATCAAACAGTTTGGTTGACTTTCTTGGGTGTATTTGGTCTTGACCGGTCTTGACATTCATAAGCACTTGCGGTGTGAATAACACCATGGCCACGAGCTTTTCGGCTGTGCCTGTCCTTGTTTCTATATAATGGAACTCTATTCCAACATGCCTATTTGTTGTCCATATTCAAAGCTAAACAGAACATGCTCAAATGCCAAACTGCTGGATCTCCAAAAACCATTGAGAGGCCAAGTGAGGAAAAGGACAATGACTATGAGTGTTTTTTAATCATACATTACACGTACAATTCAACGAGCACCTGCACCTGCGCAACGTGTTTTGCTAAATCGAGACGCACACAGGCTGCAGCGTTTTGGAAGGACATGGCACATGAACCCCGAAACAACAAAGATTTGGATGAGCAAATTCCCATATAGAAAACCTTTTGTGTACACTGTCCCATCTACCCTAAAACAACTGATTGCTGAACTGTATGGATAACATGCACTGACTCGACATAATATACTACTTATAATATCCTAATATATAATTACAGTAATGGATTACATGTGTGCCGGACAAAATCTGGTATCGAGCCTAAGCACATTGCGTAGAATGGGTCGGCCCTAGAATGGGTAGGACATTGACTTTAGTATGTACTTGGTTTCACTAGATTTGGTCGGATGCTCATACCAGCACCTTCAAAGGGCCCTTGAAGGTCCAGGTACGTATATGTAGGTAATCCGCGCAGCAACTTTTCCATGAACCTCCGAGAGGCAGCGTGGCTGCCTTCCAGAAAGCCGCTGCCCTTGCCGCGTAAGCGGACCTGGAAGTTTGCGTCTCTCCACGTCCCCACATGTTCTCAAAGGTGCTGGTGTTCTCAAGGATTCCCGGGGACCCAAAAACCTCCGAACGAATGGGTCATGGCACCCAACCTGGCTGAAAAATAACGAGCTAACAGGAACTTCGTTCCGGCGAAAAGGGTCTCCAGATTTGGACGAAACCGAACTCAAATGGATTGCTCCACGAGTCTTCCGGTCAGCCGGTCTTCTGGTAGTCCTGGGGAAGATTTCGTCCCACCAAGGCGTTGGGAGGGCGAAACCGCTATCTGGAATATCCTGTCTGGAGATCTCTAGGTAGTGTAGGGTAGTCCAGCTAGGACGTCCATTGCACATTAACCTTCGCCTTGCCAAGGCCAGCCCCAGCTGCCATTGCCGCACAGGAATCGTCTAGGTCCCCATTCCACCAACTCCGAACTCTTCCTCCACTTTCACCTCACCAGCTCACCTTCGAGTGGAAGGTTTGCGCCACTCCTTTCATATTGCATCCGCCTCGATGGCTCGTGCAGGCTCGTGCATCGGTGAGAGAAGCAAACCCCGACCTTAGCACCCGTTCTGACCTCTGTTTTGGCAGGACAATGTTTTGGCTGTTGCGCCCAAGTGCTTAGATTCATTTGAATGCACTCAGGTTCTAGGTTTACATTGCGGCGCAGCTCTGCAGTGCTATGGCTGCTATGAGGTATTGCTGCGTCAAATAGCAACTCTCAGCCGCTTTCCAAGCCAATGTGTGTGATATCGTGTGATATATGTTCATTCAAATTTTCCCATAACTACCAGGTCAAGCCCTGCAGAGCTCTGCCGCAAGGGAACAAGTGCCAAAGCCAGGGGCTTTGGATCGTTTGTCGTTGTGGGCCCTAGGCTCTCTCTCTCTCTCTCTCTTTCTCTCGGCTGCTATAGCCATATAGACCATGTGTACACAGTGTAGCACACGAACCGGCATACAGAGTGGGAGCAAATGGCGCTGGCCTTCCGCAATATATGGGTGGGTATGTTAATGTGTAGTTTAATAACAGGGAGACACCCGGCCCAACCAAGGGGTTTTGGGTCCGTGGGAAGTCTACCTGCTTGAATGCACACTGGCCATGGAAGTGAACAAATGCACCTCCCGAATCCAAGGAAAACACCCTCCCGCGCCCATCTGCCAGCCTTTGCCCAAGATCCGCTTAACCAAACAAAAGTCCTCAAGAAACAGTTGGCATGATGGCACCACCGGCAGTATTCTGTGATTGACCAGTGATGGAAAGGGTTTCTGCTTCCTTTAGACTTGACTAAGACAAAACATGCCAGAACTGTGTCTAGTCCAGGGGTCCGTCCAAATCTAGACTTTAGCAAGATTCACGTTGTTTCATATAATTTCATAGTACATCTGCAAGCCGGGTCCTGATCGTCTTCCAGGCCCACGTAAAAGACCTGAACCGGCGAACACAAGAAAAACAGGTCGGAGTTTCTGGCTCTTGTTTTGCACGGCCAAACCAAAATGGGATCCAAAATGGAAGTTTGTCTGAACGGGTTGACCACTCCCAATGTCCAGAGTTGCCGTTTCAGTTTTCGAAACAGGTTTCAAGGGATTAAAATCACAATCCAAATAGAAATGGTGCTTAAATCTTTGTCCTGGTGACCCAAAAACATACTATGTTTATCAGATTGTGCACAAGGCGCGTTACCGTGCCTCTCTCCACTTTGTTGTTCAATGTGGTGTCGAGAGCTGCATCCAAAAAACAGCCGGTGCGCCAGAAAAACGGCAGGAAAGTCATATTACAAATTGCCACATTGGAATTGATTCATTCATCATTGCTATGAAACCCAATGTCCAATGAGGTGTTTATTCTTGGACATTTGGTCATGCAAGTTCGTTAATAAATGTTTCTTCATGCTTGTTCTGTGCCACGCACTACAAATCAATGGCAAGTTTTGGTAGTAGAAGGGGGGAACTGGAATTCGGGAAGAGAAGCGGCTCAACTATGCTCTCCAACTAGAACCCCCCACTGCTTGAAATGGACCTCAACCAATAGTACACAGTATTTGAATGAGGACCTAAAAAAAACGGAATGATCACACCCATCCAGTGAAAAGATAGACTTACACCCTACAGTTCCTGAAACCACCCCTTGGAAACCCTTTGCAGCCCAATGAACGCTCTAAATGTCCTAACATTATGATAATATTATGTTTTTTTATTTTTTAATGACTCATCGACTATTTAAATGTCAATGACGGGAGGGGCTCATCCACCAGCCTGGCTCGCGGCTGGTTACTCCTCCGGGTTTCGCCATGACCAACAGGTTTCGCTGCCAGGTTAACCGCTACCGAGCTCGGAAGGACGCAGGTTTCCACGGAGTTCCCGAAGGGATGTTAAGTCACATCCATTCATTAGGACACCCACCTAGATCTGAATCTTCAAGTCTCCTGCCAGGCTGGGATTTTGACATCAACCCAGGGAAAAGGACACCTTGAGAACCTAATCTGTCAAACATGGCAAAACGATGTTCAGCTCCCTTTCAGGCAACACTTCCTATATTCGCTCCAACAAAAAGGTGAAACACCACCAAGGGAGCATCGGCGACCAAGGCAGCGGCGCAAATAAAGTTGGCCGATGTGCTCTCCTCAACCCTCAGTGCCACTCGAGTGCGGTGCCGAGCCCGACCGGTGGACTTCGGAAGGGCGGAATAGCGAAGCCGAGCCATGGCACATGGGAACCAAGAGGACAGTAAAAAAAGAAAGCGTGCCGGGACTCGTGCCGGGATATCTGGGTTTATACATGTTTATACATTGTGACACTCCCACATGTTCCCCCTTGGTTATCCCTATACTTGCTCATACAGCAGTGAGCTGTGATTCAAACAGCTTGAACGTCAAAGCCCTTGGTCAGGTTGATTCCTGTTGATTCAGCTTGGCCCCATTTTCCTGCCACACACGTGTTCTCGTTCGAGGCAAAACATGCCTCTTCAGATGGACGGAGGTGGAACGTTGGGGTCTGACGCTCTCCGCAAAGTCGGACCATTGGTTGCTGTGTAGTGGTGTTTGGGTTCGAACAAAATGAATCATACAACACACTCCAGCCATTCAAACCCACCATTCTAGATAATCCTCCTGCTTGGAGTTGCGAAGTCACCTCGTCAAGGCTCAGCCTTCTCCCAGCTCGGGATCCGGCTCTGGCAACTCGCCAAAGGGATGTACCAATTTGATGCCTAGGCCTCAATCGATTCGATAAGACCGACATGATACCGACGGGAGCCTCCTCATGGAGATGATTCAAGCCCCAGGCTAGCTGCTGGTTTTGGCCGGTGGCACCCACAAACTGATTTGGAGATTACATGCACGTTCTAATTGGTCCACTTGGTTTTGCCGAACAGTTCATGTCCGGAGTCCTGCCCTTTACTGTAAGTAATATTGGGAAACAACACACATGAGGTGATAAACATATAGTTTCTTGAATCAACTCCTTCAGACCCTCCTGGCAATAATGCTTGGATGTATTTTTGCAGGAAAAACGCCAGAAAGATGCCCAGTCTGTCCAGCATGCAGGGATCTGAGGGTCCCTCCAAACAATTCAACTACGTTTAGGCGTCGCACTCAAGGAGGCATGGACAAAGTTTACATGCCCGGACATCGGTTAGCTACAGCGTAATTATATTAGCATATATAGCTATATATAACCTTAACTGAGTCTAACTTAGACTTAATTACGAGTACACAGTACGAACTTGCCTTCGACTCCGCTTGGACTTGACTTGGCTAAGGACTTACAAAAGAAACCAAAAACGTGTCCAAACAGCCAACTCAAGCTCTGCACGGCCCAAATTCAAGCCCAAGGACCCGTGAGAACAAGCACAAAACCCAAGATTGTATAAGGACCTAAGTTGATCCACCCAGCGCATGTTCAATAGCTGCATGTTCAGTGTGTTTTGTGCATTTTGTATGTCCATAGCTGCGCTGTCAGTGCGATTACCATGCTGTTAAAAAAAACATGTGTACTCTATGCTGTTCGGGTCTGTGTGTGTGTGCCCAGCTTCAGCTGGCACTCGCTGTGATATGAGGATGAGGAGGACAAGGACGGAGGAAGAGGCACCTTTCAATCCTTTCATAAAATCTAAAGAGGCAAGTGGGCAATCAGGAACCAGGCAGAATCCGTGGACCTTCGTGAAGGGGGGGCATCGAGAGTTCAAAAGGCTTTATAACCTTCGAAGCTCCCTTCGAAGCCCTCAAAGGCTGAAGGCTTCAAATCCCAAGCTGATGGTTTGAAGCCTTTGAAGCCCCCTTCGAAGCCCCTTGAAGCCCCCTTTGCGTCTTTGATCATTGTTGAGCTTACGTTTGAATGCACCACGACGTAAAGTGAAATTGCATAGCAAAGCATGACTTCTATGGCCTGACCAGAAGGATGCTGACCTCTTTGCTCTGACTTGGCCAAATCAAACCTAACCACTTACTACAGTAAGTCTTCTGAGGTTAGCTAAGTCAAAGCCAAGTCGCGAGCTAACCTCTACAGAGGTTAGGTCGAGGTTAGAAGACTTAGAACATCTTAGAACAAGTTTCGGAGATGTTGCGAGATGTTAGGAACTCCGGTTACGAGACTCACAGCCTAGGTTGTCTAGGTGATAAGTCGAATTTGGCAAACGTCCGGGCAAGCAGAGTCCAACGTGGAGTCCGGCGAAGAACATATCCCCGCACCAGCTGCACAATGTACAAGTCAAAAAATCCCAAGCTGCACTGGCTGCACACCACATTTTCGGAATTTCTTGGAAACCTGGCCAAAAAATATGTTTCCCTCCAATATGTGTAAGTTGCAAAGCTCCGCTGTCAAATCCAAAGACATTCTGTGGGAGGTCCTTTGTAACAGGATTGTTCAACGGACAAGGAACTTCATCAACCTTTCAAGGGGTGTTGACCAAATGACATGACTCTCCACCTTGGTCGCCTTGCCAAGCAAGGTCCTCGCACGTTCAGACCTCAGCTCCAACGCCGTTCTCGCGGCCCAGGTGCGGTAGAAATGCGCACGCCTTTGATCTTCGAAGAACTGCACCTCGGCCCGTCTGGTAGGTTGGTGTGACGATCAGATCAACTGCGAAGGGGAAGTGGCGAATGGAGAAGTACCAGTGATTGTAGAAGTATATAGATAGAAGTAGCACATCCTGAATACGAATCCAAACTGCTTGAAATCTGAGGAACTGCTGGGAAGTCCCTAGTGTTGAGGAAAAAAACGATCTGATCCAACTGTTGAAACTGCTGAAAGTGAGTTCAGACAACGACAGTCACAAATCCCAAAGCCGCCCTGGGCACCTCTTTCTTCTCAGCCTCCAAGGAGAGAGCGCATCACAACTGCGAAGCTCTGACGTTCCTGTGGTCATCTCAGTCTTAGTTGTAGGGAACCCAGAAACCTCTGCACTTTTTTCCAGTTCCTTCATTTATATAATTTAATTGTGATGAATTTGTGGGCATGTAGATTAGACCTGGAAAAAGAACTTACAGTAAGGTATTGGCGGATGTGACTAGACTCGACCCTTTGGCAATTCCACTGTAGCCTGCATCCTGAGTGAATCTTATAATAGCCTGTCATTGTTGAAATCCGCCAACAAGAGTTTGCCAACAAAAGAAACTAAATATTCCAGGGCACATGCTGCTCAGCACACAAACCCCTTGCGCTTGCTCCAAAAATGGAACATGGCATTCTCCTGTTCATTTTGCTGTCAAGCAAGAAATCATACTCTCAGGGCTATAGACTGGACCATTGACCTTTGATGTGTTCACAATATTTCACAATGAATTGAAACCTCAAACAGGACTTTTCACCAGCTCTTTTGCTCCTTCCCGGGATGATTGGTCCATCAATGGATTCCCTTCCTTTCGCCAGAAGAAGGCCTCACTGCAAAACCAGGACGCAGGCCACACCGGCCCCGCCTTTGGATTCAAGTTCCATTCAGAATAGAAATGTTCCAAACTCCTGAGCGGATGGTGGCTTGTCCCGAACACGCCAACCGTCGTCGCTGTCTACCGGTGTGTTTTTTGGCATGCCCAGATCTGCGGAGTGGAGTGCCCAATAATTGAGAAACAACTGGCCAGTTGACGTCCTCGAACTCCCATATTACTGGAATCACTATAGAATCGACAGTTTTGGTGTTGGAAAACCGTGTCTTTGAACGTGGGGCCCCGGTTTTGGAGTTTGGGTTGGTTTGTGTTCTCCGGAGGCTCAACCCACCCAGGCGATGGATGCAAAGTGTGGAGGGCGACGTGACCGGACTCACCCGAAGTCGGCAGTTCATACCATGTAGCATATCTCTGAACTGGTATAATTGTATAATATGTTACAATCTATATATGTCTGCGATATATGTAACATGTCACTTTATAACATGTAATTGTGAAAATGTTCACATTTCACATAATAATATATTATATCGTTATATATATACATATATACAGATGCGCTAATGCTGATTCCAAATGCTGGCGACAGCTAAGCTCCCTGGCTCGTCCGGAGGCATCCAGTTGTCGTAGAAGTGGATGAACTGCCAGTCCAATGGCCGGCGAACCCACTCACTCGGTGGGTTCGAGCGTGGACAAAAGAAACAAGTAAAGTGGAGGGTTGATAGTTAGTCATGACCCCCCAAATGTTTCGCGTACGTGATTGGCAGGGTTATTGGGCCGAGTCCTGTTCTTTTCCGACTGAACAATCAATGGGTTTTACAAAGCGTTTTTTCACTCTTCAGGACCAAGTGGTTTGCAGCCTGAGGTTTTCGGCTCGCCGAAAGCCTTAGAAAGGGATGTTCCTGGACTGTTTTTGCTCACGCCCTACAACAAAAACCATTGCTGAACAAAAACACGTGGATGGCCAAGTACAATGGAGCAGCCCAAACTGCCTTCATATGCTGCAGCGTGCTTCCACAAGACCTTCCCTCACGGCATTGATTTGTTCAGATCCGGCTGCCCAAGCCCTTGCGGCCCTTGCGGCCCTTGCGGGAACTTGGGAAGCGTGTGAAACGCTTCTTGGAAGATTTGATTTTGAGGAGTGATGGTAAGCCCGGGCTACCATCTCATCAGTGAAAAAGGAGCTTCTGAACGAGCTCGCGGATCTGTTGCGGGAAGCACTTGGGCACTATGTTCAAAACCACGAAAGCCAAGATTGCGCCAGCAGGCCTCATCAGAATGTCCATGCCTTGGTCGATTGCCCTGGCTCTTGCGAATGGCAAAACAACGTTCTGGTACAAGGTCGCCGTAAAGCAAAGTTTGGCAGTAGGGCTGCGAATGTCGGACACCAACTCCCCTTTCCAATATTTTTCATAGAGCGTCCAAGTCAGCCTTGCAGCGTTGGAGCAGCCACTGCGCAACTTATGGTGCGGTCAGATGTGCTTCGCATAGTTGCTCGCTCCCGCACAGGCAAATGAGGCCGCACTGCCGCACTGCTAGCTAAATAGGGGAAATGGTGTGAAACAACCAGTGACTCTTGAATCTCTTCCAGCATCAAGTCAGTGAATAAGCCCGAAACCATTAATGCTTTCCCGGCCAACATGCGCAGGAGTGTTGCACCAATCCGCCCGAACCGAAGGTGCTGAGGCGTTGTCACGATGCATTCATCGCTATATAGCTTTGACCTTATCTAGGGGCCATTTTTGTTTGGGAACGAAAATGCATCTTCTGCATCATCTTGGAGACGAGTGGGGTTGTGAGAAAACATGTAAACAGATGGCTTTCACATATCATCGATGTCAGACTATGTTTCTCATTATCGTATCATTTGCATCACTATGCCCATGAAACGCAAACAAACGATTCCTCTCAACAGTTTATGTCTCCATATATCCTTTATGATTGCATCATTTGCATCAGCTGGTCCAGCTGGTTGCAAATGTACAGTTTATTACGGTAGCATATGCGTGAGCTGGTTGCAAGCGCATAGTTTATTGCACAAAATGCCTGCAAATTAATTAATACAATTTGGACCGGATCCCCAAGATGAAAAAATCGCTTCAAGAGGAGGGATCTCCAAGGCTAAATCTCTTCATGAGGAGGGAACCAGTTTTAGATTGATGAGCAATGGCATGACTAACTATTGACACCCCCCCGATTGGTTTGGATGGGAAGCCAAACTTAAGATGGAAAGGGGTGAGAAGAGTGAGAGTACTGCACATTGGATGCGATCTTTAGAACATTTAATGGATCATATCTGGTGAGGTAGTCTCATAGGCCTATAGGAACCATGGAATGCATGGTGCGGCACCAACTGAGGAATAATTGGGTATGATGTGCTTTCCATTGAGGACCATGAGGCGCCTTTAGAGCACCATGAGGAGCCTGAGCATGAGACAGCATTTGCATCAGGCTATATTATCGATTGGGATGAGCTGGATGAAGCTGAGAGGATTGGAACGAAGCATAAGAACATGAAGGCAAGGACCTATGAAGTGGAAGTCTCATTATGAGGAAGGACCAGCAGAAGCTAGGAAGGTGGAGGAGAACGATTGGGATGAGCTTTTTGGAAAGGAGGCTGTGGGAAGTTTATCGGGTGATGGATATGTTTGTTTTGCCCACCCGGAGGGAGCAAATTGATGGGGTGGTTATGAATAGAGGGATTACGGGGACTTCCTTTGGGAGCTTGAAACACTTGGGAAAAAAAAAAACACATGTTTGGAGGCAGCGTTGTATAAAGAATGAAGGACTTTCTGGGAGTGGTTTTGGGAGCCTGGGTGATTTGGGGTGATCTGCGGCCAGGTGAGAACAGCTTCGCGAGATGATTCGTCCATGAACGTTTGGTGTAATGGACACTGACATTGACACCTCCAGACCCTCCGAGATCTCGTCGGAAAAACATGAACAAGCAGAACCACACGTTCCATAGAAAGGAACAGGACTGAGCATGATAGTTGGGTCCGAACCAATCCTTTGTTGGACGTCTGGAGAGTTGCAAGTTGGCTTATATTTAAGGTGTGGATTGATCAAACTTGTGCCAAGCTGTGCCAAGCAGGCTGGGAAATCAGAACCCATGACGACCCATGAATGACAGTGCAACGAGGGTCACTCGCATGGACCCTTGTGCGCCACATCCACGGGGCATACAGGGCCACTGCTTCAACCATTCGGTCAACCATTCGGTAAGGTAACGACTCCACCGAAACGACGAAGCCGAAGCCAGGTCCCAAAACCTCGTATACCACAGAAACTCATGAATCATCGAGAACCGGGTGCAGGACCGGTTGTACAGAGGTGCCTTTCTCGACACAGCTCAACCATGCACCGGATAAAACATGAAGTACTGGGTAGCAGCCAGGCACTCAAATGGATCCGTGCTATGCTTCAACAGGCTGTCGAAGCTGTAGAGCGAACCATCAGTAACCCGGCAGTTCAAATCTCATTCTTGGCAACCATGTAAATTGAGGCTTGGCAACTTAGCCCTTAGCCTCAATCTACCTCTGTTCTACAGTTATACCTTACTTTCACGTCCATCCAAGTGATATTGTATGTGTTGTTTCTTTTTTGTGCGTTGTACCGTTGTACCGTGTACTGGATTCAATTCACCCAACCAATGGGCTCCCAATCTCGCTTGTGTAAAGCCCACCGATCTCGCACCTCGACCAGCTGCAGCAGCTGGGCCATAGTGATCTTGGATCCATCCGCTCCTGAGGGATCCATCCAATTTGGTTCTTGAGCATCTCCGCGTTCTTTTCTGGGAAACGTTCTCTGGTGGTTGACTACGAGTACGTATATACTCTGCGTCAAGATCCAATTGTCATCCAAGTGAATTTTGGAAGATCAATCAAGCGGGATGTTCTACAAAAACAAATGACACCCAGCATATGTGTTGACAAGTGACAGTGACCTGAAACACACAATCGTAAGCAGTAACGGCATTCTTTGTTGACAATCTGTGTGTGGTTGATGTTGATTACCCTGGTGGTCTGTAATTAGCCTGTTCTATTTATCTGAGCTGTTGTTCTTCTGATAATCCATTGAAATACAAACAAATGCAGAAACTTGCTATGTCACCAGTTTTATGCATCCAAGAAACAATGAGGAAGCTCTCTCCAGTTCCCAGGTTTCTTTTGCAGAAACGGACTTTCAAAGAACAAACCTGGATACCCCTTTGCTGCGACAGAATCAAAACATCCAACAGCTGCAAAGACCTCGACTGCCGCTCTCCGCGGTCTGAAACAAAAAAACACCGAGAGCCCAACATATCCACTGAAATGATATGGAAACGATGAACACACTCAAAAAAACAAACAAAACAAACACCATCCCTTGAAAAATAACACTGCAATGGATATCCACTGAAAGACCAAATGGAGGGTGTCCCTGATCTCCCTCCAAGAGACTCTCACATGGTCCATATTCATCTCCAGGAGACTCTAATAATTTCAATATACCCCGCCACCCACTCATCACTCATCACCATCCTGAATCCTCCAACTCACTTTGACTCAGGCCGGTGACCTCGGATCGAGGCAATGGATTTCAGGCGTAAATGTATACATACGTTGTGCATTATACGTATGTATATATATATATGTGGCAGGGACCTTTTGGTAACATTTCGTTGCGGATGAAAAGCACCGGCACATTTCTCACTAGCGCGCACAGGTCTCATTTGCCCATGCCACCACGCACAGGGGAAGGAGAAACCGGACGTCGCGGGTCCTTAGATCGGTTTCTCATTGTTTTTCATTGTTCAATTATTGCACATGTATATTGGGAAGCATGCGTTGCAACTAATGAATCAGCCAAAGCGTCGTCCACTGATCTCTGGCCTGTGTGAAAATTCTCCCAGTAGAACACTCCTGGCTTTGTGCCTTGGATACAAGCGCTGATGGCTGATGGTTCCCGAAGCCTAGAACGGTTGGCATGACGTTCAAAAGCTTGTTACGCTTTTCAAAAGAGTACGGCCGCTTTTGCGTTCAAGCCAGGCTGCGGCTTTCGATCTTGCGCCAGCTCAAGTTGTACGCCTTTTCCTCACAAAGGTGCCGATTGAAAAATCTTTTCGATAACCATCAACCGGATTGATTCCCGCGCAGATATGAACATAGTGTTTGGTGAATTCAATTCATGAGTGGCTTCGTGCCAAAACAAATGAGGCTCCCAAAAGCCACGTGATCATACGGTTGAAAGAGTTAAAAGAATGTCTCCGTCATTTTCGCATGCCAATCATCCTTGCGTCTTTGCAACGCGTCGAACCATCCTTTGGAAGGGACAGAGGCCTCCACCATTTCCTCAGCGTGCAACTCTGAAACGCCCAGGGCGCATTGATTGAATTGTTTGTCCATGTCGGGCCGCCAGAAATATGTTGATTTGAGCGTTAAACAAAAGTTCCTGCAACTCCGTAACTTGCCCGCAATTCTGCCAAATCTGAGACCCTGGCGTGCCATCTGGGCTTGAAGCCCCTGCCAGGTGGTGCGGATGTAAATGGTCTACGCAGGTAAACTGTAAAGAAAGAGCCACTCTTGCAAAGCAATACATGTTCTTTTTGGTGGCTAGAATCAGACTCTGCTCCACATGGATTGTGAAACTAACAAGCGCAAAACACAAGCCAGAGCACAAACCTATGTACGTTTTTGTTGAAGCATCAGCTTTCGTAAGCTCAACAAATCATATGTTTCTATGTTCGCTCGGCACCATAGTTCTAGTTTCTCTTTGGAGCGGCGTCCTACACCACCGGAGTATGGATTTCGTCGCCCGACTCACCTTTCTGCACCCGGAATACAATCCGACGGGTCACGAAAGCATTGTCTCCCCAACGACGCACTGGCCTTGCCACCGTGGACACCATATACATCGACGGGTCCCGTAGCTCCTGGATGGGGCAACCACATACCATGACTTACAAAAAAGAATAAGCATGAATAGCACGTATATTGTTGATGCTTTGACAGTTTGCATGGCTTTTGAAGAGTTTGTTTGCTTTTGTTGTGTTTACTCTTCTTCACACTCCGCAGACCTTCGCAGGACAATGATACTTGGCTAAGATCCTTTATCTAAGCTTACTGTTCTGCTTCGACTCTTCACCTCCACCTCGCCAGATCCCCGATTCGACGAAGCGGGTGTCCTTGGACTTCTCAAGGGCAAACTCCAAGAGCTTTGCCGCATGCTGTGGCGGAAGGCCTGGGACATCGCAAACATCCGATGGTTAAAAACACAAAACAAACAATGCACTTCCAAGTCTGTCAAAAGAAGTCCTTCATCAAAAGGATTCTGATCAAAACCTTTCAACCAGCTCTCTGGAGAACATGTGAAAAAAGAAAAGTCTGATACCTTCTATACATCTCAAATATCATTACATCTGTGTCTTCATAACTCTACGCCGTTCCAGTGGCCTGTCACTGCGACGAGCGCTTCGTTTTGTACCGAAGGACCACCTTTTTGCACCTGGCTCCTCAGTGACGACCACATATCCATCCGACCGGGAAGATCGAAAGCGGACGTTCACAATCCACCGAAACATTGCTTTTGGTTCAAGGGGCGACCATCTGCATGGAAGTCTATCATAGAAATTAAGGGGGGACCATCTGGATGGACGCTGTATTACAACTCACCGACTGCCCTCGACCAAAATCTAATCTCTGAGAATCAAATTGGATTAAAGTTCACAGGGTATGTTTCTTGAAGTGCTTCACTGTCAGTCTCTATGTTTCACTTCAGATCCCCACAGAAGCCGCTCCATGGTTATTGGATCAATGCCTTCCGGGCCTGAGCCACGAAAAGACAGTCGATCCGAGAAACTTTCCCATTCGTTTCCAGGAGACAACTGAAGAAGCCATGCCATGGTATGTGAAAAGTAAGGAACTAAGCAGTAAATTGATTTTAGTGTTTATGTGAGGAAAACACCTCTTGATATGGGTAGTGGCCCTGTCATCGACCGTCTCCCCACTCCTCACCTGAAGGTGCTGCATTTTGCAGACCTTTCGCAGCTCCTGTGCCAAGCTTTCCGCATTCAATCGGATCAAGGAAAACCTAATGCAGCCTATAGGCAAACCGACCTGGCGATGATCTGTGATTGGTAGATCACTTGTCAATGTGTCAACTTGTCAACGGCTAATGCGTTTGTGTCACTCATTCACTAATAGCCGAAGTGTCTCGCATCACGACAATCAAACATGATTCGAAAAAAACGGCGCGGAGCGCTTCGGCGTAATCCGCCTGGAGGAAGCTTCTCAGCGACCTGCAGCCATGAAGATTTCGTAAAGTTCCCTCATGACACATGTCGTGGCGTCGTTGCTGTGCTAACTGTTCTCAGAATGTGCACTGTGTAGTTTGTTCTGTCCTATTTCAATCCGTACCCTTGCGCACAGCTGAACGCTCAGCATGAGAGCCGGGCCTCTTCGGCTCGCGCAACACACTGCTTCTTTGCCGCAGCGCCGCGCTCACCTGTCATGCCGGTGGCGCATCTTTGGGTATGAATATGCCATATAATGTTCCGCTGTACCTTCTTGTCTACAACATATGATGTTTGATCAATATTCTTTCATCCTGGAATGGCCATTCATCGCGAAAAAGCAGATATCTTTCGCGGATCTTTCGCGACCTCATCGCGAAGCATGTTCCTCAAGAGAGGTTGGTTACTTAACATGTTTTGGGTGAGTCAGAGAGTCATGTATATTTATATATAGAGATACGGTGGGCGGAAGAAGAAATCCTGCACCACTTTGATACAGCCGTCATCCAAAGCTGACAGACCAGCAGCCCCACATCCCTATTCCAGGTCGTTGGGGTATGGGGGTGGGGTCAAGTTTGGTAGGCAGAACTTTATCGGCACATTCGTGAAACTTTCGCGGATCTTTCGCGAAAAATCATTAATGATTTCCCCATTGGCTCAAACTGGCTCAGCCAGGTGATTGCACTTTGGCTGTATTTGGCGCCATCTCTGTGGCTAGATTGCTTCAAGCACAAATGCCTCTGACAACTATACACATCTGTGATCTATGACACATAATACAGGAATCCCACAAACATACGCTACACTACACATTGACATCCCAAAACAAACTGAAACCAAGTAAAGTTCTACGTAGAAGCTTTTTATCCAGTGGGCCATAAAAGGAGAACCAATATTAAAACCAGAACCTTCGATAAATCTTTCGCGAAAAACATGTACTTTCGCGAACCTCATCGCGAAGCTTTCGCGGAGGGTTTTAACAACATCTAAAAGGCTGTTTTATATTAAACTCCTTACGCTGGGTTTTCGATCATCTCCCATATGGCTCACAACTACTTTTTGGACATGCCCGGAAGGACTCGATTCGCCGTCAAACCCGGGTATAGGCCTTCCACGGCAAGTCCATACCAATCTGCCATCCGCTTGGCGCGCCGCTCTCTGCGCGCCATGGCAAAGGGCCAAGGGGTGAAAAGCGGAGCAACCGTAAACATAGAACATTGCAGTCAACAATGAAACATCTGTCCTTTATTGCCTTTTGAACGGATGACTTTTGTGACATTGAAACCCATTGAAACCCACGACACTTCCGCGCACCCATGGGGAAAAAAGGAAAAACTATAGCCAACAGTTCACATCGACATGCATGGTGAAGCGTTTCGTTTAGTCTCTCGGTCTCTCGTCTATTGTTTTTCGTCTTAGTCAGTCAGAATACAGCAGCGTATGAAAACTATTTAGCGCATTTAGCACATTAGTCTTTTGTTGTCTACCAGAAAAAACGTCCAGCCAGCAATCAAGTTTTGCGTATTAGCGCTGTGCACGTCCATCCTACACACATATGATATGGCACGCAGTGAAACCTAACTATAACTCCACCATCTGCAAGAAATATAGAAAAAGCTAAATTATCCTTTTTGTAACAAATACTATTTGCTGTCCCCGAAATTTTTCGAATCAGTCTACCATGTCAACACTACCTTAAAACAACAAATAGTAGTAATAGTAGTCGGGATGCGCTTAGCAATGAAAGGTGATGAACCAAAATAAATTGGAAAGAGAAATCACATCACCAGAAACAAAACCCATGCATGCCAGATGCACCACTTGTTAACTCACAACCCTGGTACGGGAAGAAAGGAGACCGGGACCAGCGCAGCAAACCAGCCGTGCAAGGGTGGCTCAAAGAAGAAACCTACCACCCCAAAATTTAACCAAAAAGGTCGCAACGAATGAAGACCCCTTCATAAAGGAGAGTGCGGGCGGATCAAAAAGAGAAAAGGACACAACAAAGCACTAAACCCGTGGCGGAAGATCCGCCAACAAACGTTGCCCTATTCCAAGAGCAACCCTACTTGGCTGAACTCATGACCAGTAGATCCAACCAACCGATTGAAACAAATCATTGCAAGCAAATCACCGTTTGTTGTACGCTCGCGTACACGTCCCAAGACTTCAGATCTCCACAAGGTAGGCAGGTTCCGAAGCGTGACAGCACTTCCCTCAAGATTTTTCAAGATGACCTCACCGAACCTGCTAACAGCCTATAGTGGGGCAAGGGAACTCGACATCA